CACACACACACACACACACACACACACACACACACACACACACACACACACACACAGGGAGAAGGTCAGCTCTCCCAGATATTGATGTCTGGGCAGGAGGCTGAGCAGCCATTCCTTGGATCATGATTTCACTCTGCTTCATGCTGGAAATCTCATTTGCCACAGCAGAGAGTTGTTTCTCTCTTAACTTTTATTTATTTATTTTTGATTTGTTGCATTGATTGGGAAAAAGCAATGTGTTTAGTTGGCTGGTTACAATATTTACAGATGTGTTAACACTGCTGTTGTTGACTTTAGCATAGAATGCCTTCAGTTCTGTAATGTATTGAATTAATTTTTGTAATTTCTCAGTCACATTTTTGAGCTAAAAGGATTGTTCATGGTTCAACATATTAGTAAAACAGAATTTGCTCAGCCAAAGCATAATCATCGCATAATAATAATAAAAGATAAAGTTTGGACTGAAAATTGATAGAACTGTTTAATTTTTTTTTAATATTTTTTCAGTTTTAAGTGAATTGGTTCCTTATTTTAACTCTTATATCTTTTTCCTCAGGGGGAAGATGGTGGATCTGGTCCTTCAGATGGTAAGAATTAGTTCCCATTTCTTTTTAATATTTAGAAAACATTTCACGGGTCAGTACCCACACACATTGCTGCCAGCATTTCTTTCATTATCAAGCAAATGTTAGCTTTCAGAAATCCAGAGGAATTCTAATGGTGACAAGCTGACTTCTTTAAACTTTATAAATCAGGAACAATGAAATCTTCCCAAGGTCCTTCCATATAAAAGGCAACCAATCCCAGTAATTAAGCTGCTTATTCACAGTCTTCCTGTGAAATCCAAACCACTTGGGGAGGAAAGATCCTGTAGCTCATCTTCAGAAACACATCACTTGTTTGTTCATTTTCCATCATTGAAAGCTTGCAAATTCCTTTTGAGCTGTTTCCCTCGCTTTCTAAACAAAAACACAGTGCCATCTGAAGAGTTTTCTAGATACGGGGTGAGGGGTGGGAGTGTCTGCCAGGGTTTTGCAATAATACAACGCTGATGCATTTGAAGAGCCTCAGAAAAGCCAAACTCTATGAATTAGATGCCGACACAACATTTTCTATATYGCACAACATAAAATTTGCATTATTTCAGTTGTATAGATCACATATAAATGTATGCGTGTGCGCGTGTGCATGTGTGCGTGCGTGTGTGCGTGTGTGCGTGTGTGTGTGAAATATATTACTAGGGCTGGGTATTGTGGCCATTTCTCTAAATTGATTCATAAGGTTCTGAATCAATTATTCACAATTCTATTGGATTCAATTTGATTTGATCTGCTCCTAAAGAATGAAAATGGTTCAACTGTGTTGTAAAATACAAATTCACTTTATTATTTTCTCTTCACCATAAACAACAGGTTTTAAGGGCAAACTTGTAAATTGGACAGTTTAATCTTGGAAAAAACAGTCTCGAGTTTCAAAGGTTTAAATTAAAAAGGAATTGCAAGTAACAGTATTGTTGGGTGCATTCATTTTCAAGAATTTAAGAATTTTTTTGATGAATAAGAAGTGATGGGGATAAGGTTGCGGGAGAAGGGGTGGGCTAACATAAGTATACTTCTGCCGCATGAAAATTGTATATTTGTAATGTTTCTGTGACCTTCTGTTGTTACATTCAATTAAACTTATTAACACTAAAAAGAAATAATGATACAACTACAACATTTTATCACTGTGAATTTCATCAAGACGATTCTTAAATTTAAAAATAATATTGGTATTAAAACTAATTGATTTTATTAGAATGTTAACTTTCATACATTTATACATGCCAGGGAGAACAGTTTCAGTCAAATGTTTACATACCGTAGTTTTAGTTCGAGCACCTGAACGAGCCGCTCGAAACCTGCTTTGTTTTCTGCTACCATGTGCATATCTTTGCATACAAAAGTTCGCCAAATTTAAATGAAATCAATCCAAGATCGTTTAAATCATTTTTTAACCCTGCCCTATATATTACGTATATCGCTTATCAAATGTCACCCATCTGTACCACAGTGTTCCATTTAAGACATGGGTAAGACATGGGTATATATATATATATATATATATATATATATATATATATATATATATATATATATATACACTCACCGGCCACTTTATTAGGTACTCTAGTAACGGGTTGGACCCCCTTTTGCCTTCAGAACTGCCTTCAGAACTGCCTCAATTCTTCGTGGCATAGATTCAACAAGGTGCTGGAAGCATTCCTCWGAGATTTTGGTCCATATTGACATGATGGCATCACACAGTTGCCGCAGATTTGTCGGCTGCACATCCATGATGYGAATCTCCCGTTCCACCACATCCCAAAGATGCTCTATTGGATTGAGATCTGGTGACTGTGGAGGCCATTTGAGTACAGTGAACTCATTGTCATGTTCAAGAAACCAGTCTGAGATGATTCCAGCTTTATGACATGGCGCATAATCCTGCTGAAAGTAGCCATCAGATGTTGGGTACATTGTGGTCATAAAGGGATGGACATGGTCAGCAACAATACTCAGGTAGGCTGTGGCGTTGCAACGATGCTCAATTGGTACCAAGGGGCCCAAAGAGTGCCAAGAAAAGATTCCCCACACCATGACACCACCACCACCAGCCTGAACCGTTGATACAAGGCAGGATGGATCCATGCTTTCATGTTGTTGACACCAAATTCTGACCCTACCATCCGAATGTCGCAGCAGAAATCAAGACTCATCAGATCAGGCAACGTTTTTCCAATCTTCTCTTGTCCAATTTCGATGAGCTTGTGCAAATTGTAGCCTCAGTTTCCTGTTCTTAGCTGAAAGGAGTGGCACCCRGTGTGGTCTTCTGCTGCTGAAGCTCATCTGCCTCAAAGTTCGACGTACTGTGCGTTCAGAGATGCTCTTCTGCCTACCTCAGTTGTAACGGGTGGTTATTTGAGCCACTGTTGCCTTTCTATCAGCTCGAACCAGTCTGCCCATTCTCCTCTGACCTCTGGCATCAACAAGGCATTTCCGCCCACAGRACTGCCGCTCACTGGATGTTTTTTCTTTTTCGGACCATTCTCTGTAAACCCTAGAGATGGTTGTTGGTGAAAATCCCAGTAGATCAGCAGTTTCTGAAATACTCAGACCAGCCCTTCTGGCACCAACAACCATGCCACGTTCAAAGGCACTCAAATCACCTTTCTTCCCCATACTGATGCTCGGTTTGAACTGCAGGAGATTGTCTTGACCATGTCTACATGCCTAAATGCACTGAGTTGCCGCCATGTGATTGGCTGATTAGAAATTAAGTGTTAACGAGCAGTTGGACAGGTGTACCTAATAAAGTGGCCGGTGAGTGTATATATATATATATATATACTGTATATGCATATTTCAATTGTAGTTTTTATAAGTTTTTGTTGTTTACCTATGTTGATCTTTTCTTTTGTCCTAAAGTGTAAAATTAATAAGAACTTTTAAAATTCACTAAATATTTTTAGTTTTATAATGTCACCCCCAACAACCAGAAAAGCCATCCTTTACCAAACTCTAAGTGGCCCCCAGGCCACCAGTTGTTAATCCCATTTGCAGCAAGTTTCGCTGCTCTGGACATAGGATTGAAGTCTGTATCTCTTCTGAAACTTATGTGCGCATCGTTGCGTTTGTGCATGTGTAGAATCTCAGCATGCAGCTGCAAACAACCGCATGGCCTCCACCAGCCTGATGCACGAGACGGACCTGGTGGTTTCCATCAACGACCTGGAACACCTTTTCAACTCAGACGAAGATGATCTGACGGTGAGTGGAGACCTTGAAGCACGCCGCAGTGGGTGTCTCGTTACAGTGTAGTCTGGCAAGTGTGTGTTTGTGTGTGCGAGTGTGTGTCGCCTTCCACTGTGTATCTGAGCAGTGTCTGCGCTCTGCCTTTCATCAGCTGACAACACTCACTTTCCACTGCTATTAATCTAAAATGATGTCATGTGTGATACTCGCTGCTCCTACAGGTTGGAAACATGGATTGTGAGTAAATTTAGAGGCATAATAACTGATTCCTGTAGAATGCTTAAGTAATAAACTTTCACTTTTTTGTCCACAGATCGGTCCCAGACGACCAGTCAACGGAACAGATGAGAATTCTAGCTACAAGGAACAAAAGCCATCCATTTTGGACCCTGTGTCTTGCATTGGTATGACTGTTCAACTCTTTATGTGTCTCGCTATTGCTTTATTGTCTGAAACGGTCGTACCACATCTTCACCACAACATACAGAAGTGTTGATCTAGATTCAAACATGGTAATCGTGCACCAAGATTTACTGGACAACACCTCCAACACACAATTTGAATTTAGTAAATTAGCATCATATCTTTTAAGTAAAAAATATTTTATTTTACTATTCAAACACAGTTGATGCTTAGTCTTAATTAATGGATTTATTTAACAAGGACAGTGTACACTGTTGAACATTAAATCTATGTAAATGTTCATGATTAACCAAAAGACTTTTGAAATCTGTTGTCCTAGAAAAGGTGTTACAAGTCACAAACAAAATACACAATTTCAGCAGTACAAGATCTACACTCTGCTTTGCCACCTAATGGTGAAGAATATTCAGGTTACATTGTTCTTTCATAATTTGCTTTGTTACATTACTCAGTAAATATTTTTGTTTCGAAAATACACACAGTCCAAAAAATGTTGTTAATAGCTGGAAAAAATTGCAATTAAAAAAACTGAAGTGTCGAAACGCATCATGTCAACAACGTCAGCCAAATGCAAGTGCCATTGTCATCGATTAATTGTCAAATTAATCGTTGGCTAAATGCCACAATTAATTGTGATAAATTTTTATGTCAATATTGCTCAACACTAAGTGATGCACACCAGTTGGATAAGATAGAAATGCCTACATTTGGATATAGACATTGGAAAGTTTATGGAAAGTTTGTAAAAACAAAGAGTTTGTTTCTAAATTCCAACTTGTGACTTGTTTAAACTGTGAATTATATTACTATTGTGAAGAATTAACTCGGTAGTTTGGCCAAATGGAAAGAAATTTTGTTTCTTGTTATTGTTTATATTATATCAGTGTTTCCCCTACCATTATACAAGGGGGGTGGGGCCCCCGCCAACGAGACGGCCTGCTCCTCTAAGAATTTCACGGCATGTAGTCATTTTTATTTAAATAAGGCCAGATCAATTCGAGAGCTATTTTTTGCGTCCCTCCATGTCCAGCTCTCGCCAAACTTGGGGAAAAAGACGGTGCAGCGCGAGGCTGAGCGCTGTGTGTGGTCCTTAGAAAGATAGGACGATGTGTGTGTGTGATTAGATGTGCAACTCTGCTTTTAATCACGTTGCACCGATGTGACAGCTTTCCAAGCTACTTTTTCTTTCTTTAAAAGAAAATGCGACAGGTGAAGCACATCATGGTTACCTTATCAATAATTAAGCCTACTGCCTTTTTTTTTTCTTTCTCTGCGGGTGGGGGGTCAACTTCACTCAGCTGCAGGTGAACACCTCTCGGGAACGCACGTGTTTCCTGGACTATTTTCCACCAAGGATTACGTCGTATTTTATATTTATTATATTTCTAAAAGCACTTCGCAGCATTTCCCCTGTGTGTTCACGTAACGAGTGCAACAAAACCGCGACCGATCATCTGTTTTTAAAGCGAGGTGCAGTGACAGCAGCTGAACCTGTCCACCTGCAGTGCAGCTCCGACCAGCCCGGCCCGGRACTTAAAKTTCATACATGTCAACCCCTTCAGACATTTAACGTGTAATGAGCGTCAAAAATTTGTAATTTGCGCAAAAAATCAGTATTAATCACACGACGCGGGTGGGGTGGAGGTGCGCTGACCGCAGCTGCGCGGGGTGGGGAGGAGGAGGGAGGGTCTCTTAAAGACGCGTCTACGTTTGACTTTATTTTTTTCTAAAATCACAGAGTTCTCTGAGTCAGCTTCAGATGTTTGTAGTTAATCATAATACCTTCTAAATTTAACCAGGTGTTTCATTGCCTTTAAATTACACAATAATTTTACTGGAGAAACTTGTCAGTTTGGTTAAAAAACAGTAAAAGTAAATTGTGTTTTTCTGTGCAGAGAACTTCCTCTGATATAATTTATTTTAAATAAATATATTTAAGCTCCTCAGTTGAAAAC